CTGGCCTGCACCAATAGCCCCCATCTTGTACCTACAGCCCCCTGGCCTGCACCCACAGCCCCCTACCCAATACCTACAGCCCCGTCCTGTACCCAGAGACCCCCGTCCTGTACCTACAGCCCCCTTTGCTGCACCGATAAACCCCTGTCCAGCACCTACAGCCCCCCGTCCTGCACCTAGACTCCCCATCCTGCACCTACAGCTCCCTGTCCTTCACCCACAGCCCCCATCCTGCACCCATATCCTGCATCCAGAACCCACAGCCCTCAATTCTGCACTTAAAGACCCCCATCCTGCACCCATAGCCTCCTGTCCTGCACTTACCACCCCCTGTCCTGCACCTACAACCCCTGTCCAGCACCCACAGCCCCCCATCCTGCACCTACAGCCCCCATCCTGCACCCACAGCCCCCTGTGCTGCACCCACAGCCCCCCATTCTGCATCTACATCCCCTCACTCTGCACCCACAGCTCCCATCCCACATACTCAGCCAGACCTGCCAGCAAGGAGGGTTCCCTCTCCCCCAGGCCCCCAAGGTCACTCTGTAGGGATCAAAAAGTGACCCCAATCGGTGCTGGGTGCTGCCCCTGTTCCCCTCTGGCGTGTGTGGGGTCCCTACCCGGTGTGGGTCACTTGTGGCGGGGGCGCCCCTTGCTCTGTGCCCGTCCCACGTGGGGGATGGTGAGTGTTTGTCGAGGAGGGGTGGACCTGGAGCGCGGGATGAGGGTGTGGTGTTGTGTTTGTGCGGTGCCGGTCATTGCGACGGGAATGTGTCCCCTTGCCCGGTGCCGTTCCCGGTAGGGGGGKTGGGATTTGTGTCCCCCTGCCCTATCCCGGGTTGGAGGGGTCTGTTTGTGTCCCGGTTAACGCTGGTCCCGGTGGAGAGGGTTTGCGACCCCCCCCTACCTAGCGCCGGTCCCGATTTTGGGGGAGGTGCGACCCCGCCGGTGCTGCTCTCGGTGTGGGCATGGCGAAGGGGGGTTTTTGTCCCCYGATCGATACCGGTGGGGGGTGTGTCGTGTGTGTGAATGTCCCTCCGCCCTGTCCCGTGTGTTGTTGTGTGAGCGCGGGGCGGCGGCGGGGGCGGAGCGGCGGCGGGGCCGTACTTAAAGCGGGGGGGCGGGAGCGGGGCCGCCCGTGGCGAGCAGCACCCGCGGAGCGATGGGGCAGCCGGGGGTGCCCCTGGCCCTGCTGGGGCTAGGGCTGTGCTGGGCGGCGGTGGCCGAGCGGCACACGGTGTTCTGGAACAGCTCCAACCCCCGGTGAGTGACCCCCGCCTCGCACCGGGACCCCCCAACCCCCTCCCTGCAAACGCTCACCGGGACCGGCACCGATCGCCCCGAGGGCGCGGGCGGCGCCGCTCCGCTCCCCGGCGGCCTTTGTGCGGGGCGGGCGGGCGGCGGGACGAGGCGGCGGGGCCGGTGCGGAG